TCTCACTATAAGAAGATCTTGGTCAAACACTGATATTTGATAACTGCATTGTCTTTGCACTGTAAGATGTTGTAGTCAGCAACTTACACTACTCACAAAAAGTTAGGGATATTTGGCTTTCAGGTGAATTTTATGGAAAATGTAAAAAGTTCATATCATGAAAGTAGGACATTTAAGTAAAAGAATGCATTGGTGATTTCCTCATCTCAAACAATTTATTGAAACAAAAATTAACAGTGGTGGTTACACCACAACAAAAAATTTCAATGTCTCAATAACTCGTCATGTGCCCTTGAGCATCAATTACAGCTTGGCAATGACACCTCATGCTGTTCACAAGTCGACTTATTGTCTGCTGGGGCATGGTATCCCACTTTTCTTGAAGGGCAGCTCGGTCATTGAGGTTCTGGGGTGCAGAGTTTTGAGCCTCTACAAGGCAACTCAGCTGATCCCACAGGTTTTCAATGGGTTTCAGGTCTGGAGAAAGTACAGGCCATTCCATTTGAGGTACACCAGTCTCCAACAGCCTTTCCCTGATGATGAGACCTCGATGAGCTGGAGCATTGTCGTCCATAAAGATGAAATCAGGCTGGTGTTGTTCATGTAGGGGCACAATCACTGGATTGATGATGTTATTCAGGTAGTATGGGCTTGCCACTGTACCATTCACAAAGTGTAGGGGCAGTCCTGTACCGACCGGAGACACCTGCCCACACTGTAACACTGCCACCACCAAAAGCTTGTCTGGTGACAACAGTGGCTGATGCATAGCGCTCTCCTTGATGTCTCCACCATCGCTGGCGGCCATCATTTCTGCTCAACGTGAATTGACTTTCATCAGAGAATAGCACTGAGGCACTGGTCCCTCGTTCAGCGTAAAAGCTCAGTGACCACATCCATCTGAGAACGTCCTGTTTGAAGCATCCCAGTGGCAAGGTACTGTTGATCCATTGTTAGGTGTCGTCTTGGTCTCATGATGTCAAAATGTGAACAGCATGATGGGGACAACTGTTTAAATACCAGCTCTAATTGAACCAGGAAGTTTATTGGTCGATTCAAGGATCAAACCCATGTTATGAAACTGTCCGTTCAGCTCCTCGTTAGAAAACAGCAACTTGTGCAAAAAGAACTGAAACATTTGAGAAGCATTGGCTGTATAAAGTATCGTAATCAGAGGTTCATGTGATCTGCCTTCATGAAGTTCTGTTTACTACCGTTCTTTGTACGTGGTTAAACTACAAATCCTGTGACAACTGCAGGCAAAAAATGGCATAGTTTACTTCCATGTTTTTGACCTCTTTGCTGCTACAAACTCCCGCATACGGTGGCTTGTTCACCTGCAAAAAAAGAAGTTCAGTCATGTCCACTACTTGTTGTTTAAACATGGGAAAGTGTGTTTTCAATGAGACTTGGCTTTATATCAGTGATTTTTGTGCTCGGTGGGAATGATCTTAAAGGTCCTTTAAAAGGTCTTAAATTTAACTTACTGAAACCTGCATGAACCATGATTTTAGGCTTGTCCTGAAATTTAACCCAAAAGCCAAATATTCCTACTTTTTTGTGAGTAGTGTGTGTACAGTATATGTATATAGGGTAAATAT